ATGTTTTCTAGATTTTAAAAATCTTTTTTAATATTGTTCCTTAATGATGTCTTTTTAAATCTCAAGTAATAATCAAGATAATGTGTGTTCAACATGCATTGTGTTAGATGTGACATTGTACAACTTGATCAACACTTGATTGAATATTAAGTAGCAATCATGATGAAGGGTGTGGTTTACAGATTGTGTTAGGTGTGAAAGTGTTCAGTTTGATCAACACAATATTTATATTACAAAACAAGTACATGTGATTTGTTCTCTCTCTCTCTCTATCTCTTTTTCGCAAATGTAATGTGTATAAATTTGGATACAAATACGTCACATATTTCATGTCAGTGTCATAGATCATCATGATTGCATGACCAATAAGATAGTAAATCACATTTCCTCTTTTTTTTCATTTTGTTAATATAATTTTGGATATGACTTGGTTGGAGTTAAAGTGAGAAAAAGTATTAATTGGAAGATCTTTGAAATGATATCAAATTGGATGTTGTGTGATGTGAAAAGGAAACTATAAAATGATGAGATGAATTTCATCTTAAGACAGCAGATGTGAGTGTTGTGTCTGTGTAGTGAGAGAGAAGTCAGCTTAGATAACCCTGACAATTTGATGGTTTGCTGTCTGAAAAAAGCAGTTAAAGAAATTACTCCATGGAAAATTGACTTAATTGACTTACAATATTACCAGAGCATGTGCGTGTTTGTTGCATTGAAAAAAAGAACATCTAAATTATTCACTTCTGTTTTATATCATTGAATGTATTTTAAAGATCAAATTGAAGTGCAAGAAAACTTAATATTGCAGCAAAACTTTACAAAGAATATACATTATTTGTGGCATCCATTGATGGCCAAATGATAAATAAGTAATTAGTATTTGTACAAACTTAAATAAACATTTATTTTAACTATTTCTTCTAAACAGTAGTGGGAAGTGAGCATGTGGAATTTATGTGAATCCAGTACCTGGTAGAAACAGTTATTTCTGCATCCACTCAGGTGTCTGTTGTTAACCTACATAATAGTATTACTTCATACCTGGAGAAGAAGACCACCAACAAAGAGTTCAGGTAGTCTGTGCTGTGATCTTAGGCAGACATTACAGCATCCACACTGCCAACATCTTCTGACTATTATGTAATAAACAATGGCATAACTGTTGAAAACAGTGGGAAGTCATTCTTAAAAAGTGTGCAGAATATTGTTTATGTGTTTAGTTGGCAGCTGTGTGTATATGATACAGAAATAAAACAGCAGAGTTAATGATCTCTAATTTGTATGAGCAATAGCAAAAAATAAAAAGGGTACTAGGTACTTTAGTCATCATTTGGTACCTAGGAATAGTAACTAGAAATATATAGGTTTATCTGTTTGTGATGGCTTTTCTTCTCATCTAGAAAATATGCAGATATATTATGGATATAAACCATTTTATGATCGTTTCAATAGGGTCCTCTCAATTATGTATAATGAACACCGTCAGAAAAAGTCCCATATTATTTAATGCCTGGTATATATAGAAAATAGATAGGTTTGGTGAATACTTTGTGACTACCACCTAAAGGTACCTTTCAGATAGAGTCAGGAAGATGAACTGTGGCACATATAATCACTTTGGTAATGTGTATGGACAGCATGGCACTGGAGAGTTATAAATACAATACTGGGACTGTTACTAACCTAAAAATAGTAAATAAATAGGTTTAATGTCCCTAGTGGATGTCTTAGTCTTATCAGTGACCAGTGCTGACCAGTTTTGATGGCATAAATCATCATAGGTTACAATATTTCCAGTAAAAAAAAGAGTAAGATGGATACCAGATAGTTTATCCTCACATTAATCTAGCAGTTTTCATCCATTAGGCCACACTTTTTTAATTTTATGGATGACATCCTGCGCGCGCACCGATTTTCGTCCGTTCTCAAAAAAAAAAAAAANCTTTTCAGTATTGCATACTAATTTCTCTTTATGTGCTGAGTCATCAATCAGATAAATGTCTGTTGAGGGACTAGAGGGTTCTCTTGACAACTTTTTTTTTGTTTATTAATTTTTAATCAGTTTATTTATTTATTTATTTATTTATTTATTTATTTATTTATTTATGCTCGAAGAAAGGAGACTGCGCGTGTTTATACTAATTATTCATGTTTGTACAAATTCTTCAGATGCAATTGGATAGAAAACATAGAAAGAAACAACAGGTTAATGTAAATTCTTATATCTATTATCACATTTCTTGTACCTATAAATAATTCTGCAAAGTAATACATTGTTTCTCACCCATATAAATATCTACCAAATTAGGCTGTTTTATTCCAGATCTCATAAAATATCTCGTCTTTATAAAAAGACAATTGATTTCCTATTCAAATTAGGGTTTTTTGAAAAGGCATGCGGTTTGTCCAGACACTTAACCTCCCTTGCTAAACATTAAAAAGTAATTCTTTTCACATAAGTCTTGACATCAGTATACAAAGGGGTGCTGGGACAGGTCGCCATTCCTGAAAATGGAAGCTCCATTGCATGACCAACATATTTTTGCCAGCAGGGTCCAGGGATAGATGAGATTTTTTTATTTGGTATCTTGTAATGTGGATTGTTTGTCTGGGCCAGAGGAGGTTAAAAGACACACTGAACTTTACTTGGCAGTCTTCTATCCCAGTCACTAGGGCTATCCTGTCTGTTGGTGAGACCATTCCAAACATGAGCATGACACTGGTGAAGTTTTGTTGACACGAGGTGGTCGTCTTGGTGTCACTGTGTTGGAAATTTCCCCGAAGTTGGGTTGACAGCTTGGAGTGTCGTGAGAGATGTAGGTAGACAAACTAGACTGCTGCTCTCCGCTGTGACTGTCCTAGCTACACCAAGTTTAAGGTTGGGTTGACACAGAGGGGTGACGTTAACATCAAATGCTGTCACTGTGACGGTGTATTTACCTTAACTACCTGACCAGATGTAACTCTGTGACATAGAGAAGTGAGGTTGACATCTCTTACTGTCACCAAGGACTTACATACAGAGACATATATATCCTTACTGTCACCAACTGAATTAAGCTAGAGGTAAAACTATGTTTACACTGTAAAAAAGACCTGACATTTAGTATTACATAGCTGTCAGTGTGCCTTCCCTGAGTGGTCTGACTGCAGCAGACGATGACGATTTGGAAGGATTAACATCACACGTCTGGCTGTAACTGACTCGAACCCTGGTGAAGAAAACCTTATTTTTATTAAAACTGAGTGCAGGAGTGATACCTTTGTTACTGCAGTAGTTGAGTGCAGGAAAAGGACTGATTTGATATCAAGAGGAAGAATTTTTGTACCTTTCATCCTCCATCATGAGTTACATAGAGTGGGAGAGGCTGAGGATGGAGGTAGAACTGGTGAGTTAAACTTTGATATAAAAAATGCTTGATTGTTGGTGGTTTTTCAGGATTTCTCTTTTAGAAATATAAGATGTATTTAGACAGTTGATTTTGGTAAGTTAGGTTTTATTATAATTCTAATACTCTGGTTAGTTGTTTATTTATCAGAAATGTTTTTTCTTCTAATATTGAATGGTGAATATCATGTTTATTGTTTTTTTATTGTGACAATATGTCCAAAAAAGTTCAGAAACATTTTTTAATGTAAATTTCTCTTTAAATCTGAAATATTAGGTAAATTGTTTCACATAATAACTTTTTTAGCCTTTTAGTAATTTTAAAATGGGAATGATACTAATTATTTCATTATAACTGAAGTTGGAGTAATTTTCATTTAGTAGTATACAAAAACCTAAGTGATGATATGGTGTGTGGTTGAAAATGGCCTACATGGTATTATTTCATGATTTTGATACATTTTTATCACAGGTCAGATATGAAAACTGAGTTTTAACATGTCAATCTGGAAAAAATAAAGAAACTCAAGGTCCTTCATGTCTTCAAAGGCCTGTGGTATATTTGGGATGCAGTATCAAATTCAGTATGATAATTTTTTGTCCCTTTGACTGAAACCATCTTCTGATTTCTTTGATGTTGCAGGAATGCATATTTAACATATAACTCAAGGATACTAAGTCATGCTCCACCATAATGTCAAGGTTGGCTGCAGTGTGTGGAATGCGACAGAGCTATCTAATATTGTAGCTGAAAATTATACCTCTGAAGGAATTTGTGCTTATGTGTGATTAATGTATTCTGGGATTATACATGTATGTATGAGTATAGTAAACAGTAGACACATGCACACATACATGCGCATGCACATACACACTTCCACAAACACACACACACACACACACACACACACACACACACACACACACACACACGCTGATGGTTTTCATAAAATTCTCACTAGGAAGGCATAGGATAATTCATGGTTAGAGTACATGTACTTTTAGCATGATAGTTTTAATCTGTTAGATATTTAACTGTCATAATTTGAAGGGCTGAGGTTATTAGAACATAATTATGAAGAATTACAAGTGAGGTCATCATTGGAGACAACTGATAATGATACAATAATAACAATGCATTACCTTGTACCCAGGAACCCATAGTTATAGCAATGGGGTTTGTGTCAATTAGGGTGAGGCTATTACATGTAGAGCTGGTCTATTAGAGGAGGGGCAACTCACTAATTAGAGCAAAGATTAATTAGCAGTGTCCCTTGAGTCCTTCTGAGTCTATTAAGTAGCAGCTAAGTTTCTAGTATTCACTTTATAGCTTTGTTCATACAGTTGTAAGTGACATGGTTTGAAAGGGTTGTGTTTTTCATAACATCAGTTGCCATGGTGATTATGTCATTTCAAGTATTAGTACATTTCCTTGTAGCTACTAATGCTTCTGCTTTCCACAGTTAATTTAGTGCTATAATAATATTTCTGAGATTTAGNTGTCTTTATAAAAAGACAATTGATTTCCTATTCAAATTAGGGTTTTTTGAAAAGGCATGCGGTTTGTCCAGACACTTAACCTCCCTTGCTAAACATTAAAAAGTAATTCTTTTCACATAAGTCTTGACATCAGTATACAAAGGGGTGCTGGGACAGGTCGCCATTCCTGAAAATGGAAGCTCCATTGCATGACCAACATATTTTTGCCAGCAGGGTCCAGGGATAGATGAGATTTTTTTTATTTGGTATCTTGTAATGTGGATTGTTTGTCTGGGCCAGAGGAGGTTAAAAGACACACTGAACTTTACTTGGCAGTCTTCTATCCCAGTCACTAGGGCTATCCTGTCTGTTGGTGAGACCATTCCAAACATGAGCCTGACACTGGTGAAGTTTTGTTGACACGGGGTGGTCGTCTTGGTGTCACTGTGTTGGAAATTTCCCCGAAGTTGGGTTGACAGCTTGGAGTGTCGTGAGAGATGTAGGTAGACAAACTAGACTGCTGCTCTCCGCTGTGACTGTCCTAGCTACACCAAGTTTAAGGTTGGGTTGACACAGAGGGGTGACGTTAACATCAAATGCTGTCACTGTGACGGTGTATTTACCTTAACTACCTGACCAGACGTAACTCTGTGACATAGAGAAGTGAGGTTGACATCTCTTACTGTCACCAAGGACTTACATACAGAGACATATATATCCTTACTGTCACCAACTGAATTAAGCTAGAGGTAAAACTATGTTTACACTGTAAAAAAGACCTGACATTTAGTATTACATAGCTGTCAGTGTGCCTTCCCTGAGTGGTCTGACTGCAGCAGACGATGACGATTTGGAAGGATTAACATCACACGTCTGGCTGTAACTGACTCGAACCCTGGTGAAGAAAACCTTATTTTTATTAAAACTGAGTGCAGGAGTGATACCTTTGTTACTGCAGTAGTTGAGTGCAGGAAAAGGACTGATTTGATATCAAGAGGAAGAATTTTTGTACCTTTCATCCTCCATCATGAGTTACATAGAGTGGGAGAGGCTGAGGATGGAGGTAGAACTGGTGAGTTAAACTTTGATGTAAAAAATGCTTGATTGTTGGTGGTTTTTCAGGATTTCTTTTTTAGAAATATAAGATGTATTTAGACAGTTGATTTTGGTAAGTTAGGTTTTATTATAATTCTAATACTCTGGTTAGTTGTTTATTTATCAGAAATGTTTTTCTTCTAATATTGAATGGTGAATATCATGTTTATTGTTTTTTTATTGTGACAATATGTCCAAAAAAGTTCAGAAACATTTTTTAATGTAAATTTCTCTTTAAATCTGAAATATTAGGTAAATTGTTTCACATAGTAACTTTTTTAGCCTTTTAGTAATTTTAAAATGGGAATGATACTAATTATTTCATTATAACTGAAGTTGGAGTAATTTTCATTTAGTAGTATACAAAAACCTAAGTGTTGATATGGTGTGTGGTTGAAAATGGCCATCATGGTATTATTTCATGATTTTGATACATTTTTATCACAGGTCAGATATGAAAACTGAGTTTTAACATGTCAATCTGGAAAAAATAAAGAAACTCAAGGTCCTTCATGTCTTCAAAGGCCTGTGGTATATTGGAATGCAGTATCAAATTCAGTATGATAATTTTTTGTCCCTTTGACTGAAACCATCTTCTGATTTCTTTGATGTTGCAGGAATGCATATTTAACATATAACTCAAGGATAATAAGTCATGCTCCACCATAATGTCAAGGTTGGCTGCAGTGTGTGGAATGCGACAGAGCTATCTAATATTGTAGCTGAAAATTATACCTCTGAAGGAATTTGTGCTTATGTGTGATTAATGTATTCTGGGATTATACATGTATGTATGAGTATAGTAAACAGTAAACACATGCACACATACATGTGCATGCACATACACACTTCCACAAACACACACACACACACACACACTGATGGTTTTCATAAAATTCTCACTAGGAAGGCATAGGATAATTCATGGTTAGAGTACATGTACTTTTAGCATGATAGTTTTAATCTGTTAGATATTTAACTGTCATAATTTGAAGGGCTGAGGTTATTAGAACATAATTATGAAGAATTACAAGTAAGGTCATCATTGGAGACAACTGATAATGATACAATAATAACAATGCATTACCTTGTACCCAGGAACCCATAGTTAGCAATGGGGTTTGTGTCAATTAGGGTGAGGCTATTACATGTAGAGCTGGTCTATTAGAGGAGGGGCAACTCACTAATTAGAGCAAAGATTAATTAGCAGTGTCCCTTGAGTCCTTCTGAGTCTATTAAGTAGCAGCTAAGTTTCTAGTATTCACTTTATAGCTTTGTTCATACAGTTGTAAGTGACATGGTTTGAAAGGGTTGTGTTTTTCATAACATCAGTTGCCATGGTGATTATGTCATTTCAAGTATTAGTACATTTTCTTGTAGCTACTAATGCTTCTGCTTTCCACAGTTAATTTAGTGCTATAATAATATTTCTGGGATTTGGTAGATTGTAATTACTGCTAGGACCAATTGCACAATGAACAGAACAATTGAGAAGCATTCAATCTTGTATTTGAGATAACATTGCATTATCACTTTTTACACTGCTGTAATTATACCACAGTGTTTGATATGCGCGAGGACATGAAGCCCTTATAAAATACTGCAGACCAGAGGAAGAGTTAATATCTTCATGTTCAGGTGTCACTGTCACCTGTCTCTGGCAGTGTCACCTCATCAGGTACAAGGGTTGACACACCTGACAGGTAAGAGGGTTGACACACCTGTCAAAAGTTGTGCAGTCTACCACAGAGATAACCATACAGGTTTAAGTCATATAATCCATGGTAAAAATACTGAAGATACAGACCTATGTATAAGTGGGTATTATGGTATTTACTATTACAACTACACCAGTTGGTCTGATATTTTATTTTGTACAAAAGATTCTTTTTCAACATTGCTCACTGTTGCTCTGGTACGTACAGCTAATTCTTGCTTTGATAAATGTGTTTTTCAGATTTTAGTTGCTCACTTTCAGATATACCACCTTATTGTTTAAAAAATATGTTTTTATGCACCGTATTGTGTTGTATGATATTTAATCATAAATTCACTGAGTTACATGTAGATATTATAATTTTTATCATCAGATAAAAATGCCCGTTGTTTAAGGTATTTCATTTCAATAAAAAGGGTAAAAGTGGATGTCTTGATATTCTTTTCCTCCTAGCAACTTAGCAAGGTATACACTTCAGCAGCATTTCAAGGGTTTTGTAATCACTTCATTTCACCTTTGTTTCACCTTCCAGGAATCCAGACTGGAGCACTTTGATCTCCTTTGAAATAAGAATGAATCTCAATTAGAAGATTGCACTTGTGACTTCAAAAAGAAATCAGAAAATGAAACTATAGATGATAGTTATTAGGCTTGTGTTGGAGTTTTTGATCCTCGTGCCATGTCTTATGATCATCATCTGAGTGAAGGCTTCTGGTTGGTTTAACCGAGACTGAAAGAATGACCAGTTATTAATACATAACTACAGTGTGACATGTCAGAGATCTTCAACTACTGAACTCTACAGTATCACGCTAGTATCTTCTTCTTATCTTTATTTAATGATAAAGCTTGAGATTTTATTGCATGACCTCAGCCAATTTCCCAATACCCCATAAGTTTTTTTTCTACCATTTTTATAACTTCAGTGAAATTGTCAGCTCTGCTATAACTAAGGAACAGCTGGTTGTAAAGAATTTAAATGTTGACAAGTTGTAAGCAAACTCTGCTGATCTGTTTTTGTTTTATTTAGATGAAGCTGTGTGTTAAAAACAAATGTTTATTGTTGTGAAGAATTTAAGAAAACTTTTTTGTTTTTTTCTGGCTTGGCCTTCGTGACTTTCAGCATGCATATTGAGTTGTGTGTTTAGTCCAGTTTTTATAAGCATTTCATTTTGCTATTCAGATGTTTAACAATTATGATTACAGTGCTATTTTAGAATGACATTATTCTGCCTCGTAAATAAATCAAGAAAGAATATTTCACCAGCATTAATCACGTAAGCTTTCATAATCTCTCATTATTGCAATAATCTATTTGGGAATATGATGAATGTCGTCCTGCCATTCTGTAGTTATTTCTAGCTGAGGTACCTAGCATTCCTGATGTATTAATATATAGAATGTTGTATATCATTAACATTTAACCCCCCACTGTAAGAGTAGACTGAGTGTGTTCTCATCATACTTAACTTGTTACAGGAATAGGTCCAAGTCTTGTGCAGATTACATGACCACGTGATAACCTCAAGGGGTAGCCCCCCCCCCCTCCAAATCCCTCTCCTCCCTCCCTCCCCCCAGCCCCACCCCTTCTAACACATTGAGTTTGAACTTCCCTGGTCACTGCTGCTGGAAGTTATTATGGGTTTAGATTGAAACTTTTGAGATGAAGACTTTAAACTACCACAGACCTGTAGCCTGCTTTATTTCAAATAGGAGAGGTCTTTAAAAAAAGTAGCCCTTTTTATCCCAAAATGAGAAAAATGGCATAAAACTTATATCAAATTTGATTCATTTTCATGGCAATAAGACAATTCATTCCACTCCCCCATACCCCACCCCCCCACCCCCCTCCAATTCAGGACCTATATATTGTATTATTGATATTTTACTGTTGCAGTACATGAACAACACTGTGCCATCACTAATTGAAGGATGACCATATTTAGCTTAACTCCAGGTAGAGAACAGTTATATTGTATATACTCCCAGTGGGTGATGTCAAAGTAAAGTAATCAACACAGTTAACAGGTGTCATGGTTAATTATGAGTTAACAACTCAAGCCAGGCCATTAATTGCAATCAAGCTGCTGGCTTCCTGGGTTTGTCTAAAAACAGTTTTAGTTTAAGTAATACTGGATGTGATCCAATCCCTGAAGTTACCAAATAATTGTTAGCAGAGAAAAAAAGATATATGGAGCTTGACGGCAACAAAATTGACTAGATAATAGAATAAAGAGTAACGAGGACTTCAGCGTCAGGATAATTCATAATATCCTAATTCCTGTGAGGATTTCTCATACAGGGATATTGACTAGAAGAGTGAGGTGTGCAACTGATCATAATAGTCCACTGATGGAAGCAGTGGAGATGTAACAGATAGATTTACAACAGAAACAAAACCCACATATAGCCCAAAGGCCTCCTCAATTATTCATGGTTTGTTTGGATACCATGGTTTTCATAATGAGTTTTTAATTGTAATGGATACAAGACCTACGCTAGGTGAGGTGATTATTTTTCATGTTGTAGCAGCACACCTTGGCTGCTTGATGTGATGTTTTAATTGAAATGAACCTTGGAGAGTAGCTGTGTAACCTACTGACAGTTGTCCTGTGAATTACTTGGAATTTGATATGTTTGGGACACAGCATGGAGCATCAGTTTTCACTTTAAATATCTGATAATCAGTTTGATTTTATAGATTGATATTGAATTATACATGCATTTATCTAATGTTTTCATTATTTGTTTTTTTCTGATCATTTGTTTACTGATTGTTTCTTGTCAAAAATTATTTTTACAAAAACAGTGTTTCATTTTATCTCTTAGATTTTGTTTTCTAACAACTATATTGATAAGAGTATTCCCATATCCCAGACACCCAGTACCAGAAGTGTTCCACACAGTCACAGTGAAATTGTTGGGTTACAAGGTGCTTGATAATCAATTTCTTGGTTGAAGTATTCCTGAGTGGTGTGAGATGATATGACTGACAGTTAGTGTGCTGGGAACACTTCAGACATCTTCAGCTGTAGTCCCACTTCTACTGGAAATAGCCTTAGCTACTTTAACAGGCAGTCTTATTGCTTTATATAGGGCATCATATTGTTGAAATAAAAAAATTAGTTTGAAGAAAAATTGCAAAATATTTGACAAAAGCAGACTGAAACAAGAAGACAGTCATTATTAGAAATGGACAAAGGAGATGCATAATGTACAGCACAATGATAGAAATAAATGATTATCAAATTATAGCAAAA